ATTGCTTGTAGACTTTTGGATAGCAGCCATCCTGACTGGTGTGTAATGGTACCTCATTGTGGTTTTGATTTGCATTTCTCTGATAATGAGTGATGTTGAGCATCTTTTCATGTGTGTTTTTGCCATCTGTATGTCTTCTTTGGAGAAATGTCTGTTTAGTTCTTTGGCCCATTTTTTGATTGGGTCATTTATTTTTCTGGAGTTGAGCTGGAGGAGTTGCTTGTATATTTTTGAGATTAATCCTTTGATGGCCAGACTCTTTGAATGGTCAGCAAAGTGAGTCAAAGGGAGGGCAAGTAAGCTGAAGGTCTGGAAGTGGTAGTGGAAGCCGAGTAGTCCAGAAGTTTTAATCAGTGCTGTTAATCTTAGCTTTTCTATGTCGTTTTGCTTCACCCGTGGGGTTATGTAAGGACTGCCTTAACTGGGGAGATGAAAAGTAGTTAAGTGCTTTATGGAGAATCATTTTTACCTACTAGTTGGCTAAATTATGACAGTTCAGTTCAGTCGCTCAGTCGTGTCCAACTCTTTGCGACCCTATGAACCACAGCACGCCAGGCCTCTCTGTCTCATTACCAACTGCCAGAGTCTACCCAAACCCATGTCCATTGAGTCGGTGATGCCATCCAACCATCTCATCCTCTGTCGTCCCCTTCTCCTCCCGCCTTCAATCTTTCCCAGCATCAGGGTCTTTTCAAATGAATCAGTTCTTCCCATCAGGTGGCCAGAGTATGGGAGTTTCAGCTTCAGCATCAGTCCTTCCAATGAATATTCAGGACCGATTTCCTTCAGGACAGCTCTACATTAACTGCCAAACAAGGAATATCTTGAACATTTTGCTGTCAGCTTTTTAATCTGATTCTGTTTGTGTCCAGGGATGTATAGAAAGGCCAGCCAAAACAACACATGGAGAAAGTTTGGTTTAGGATCTTAGAAGAGTAGTAATGAGCTAGTTTCTCCTCTCATTTTCGTAGAGGCTACTGCCCAGGAAACTCCATGGGGCAGAGAAAGAAGTCGGGTGGTAACACTTCGTTGTCCATCTGTCTGCCACACCAGTGAAGACAGCTGTGTTGGCACCTAGGGCAGCAGCAGAAGCCAGAGCATAGTGCTGAGGGTAGGGGCATGGACTCAAGAAAGGAATTAAGTCCCCTCTCCATCAGAGGAGGGGTCAGTGAAAGAGTTTTTGCTTCCCTGCAACTAAGGTGATTCCACGTCTCTTCTGTGTATAATACATAGAATGTATGTGTATATATACATACATGCAATATATGCATTGTAGTGTGATAGAGAATTATCTATAAAGATTAGATTTTTTTTTTTTCTTTTTAACCTTCGTGTAAGGGTTAGATTATTTAAAAAAAAACAAACACTTTTTTCCCTCAAAATGTAATCTTTGCTAATTGTTTTTTCTTGTTTGGTCAACTAGTGAGGAAAAACACTTCTGCAAAGACATTTGACTCTTCCTCTTCCCTTTTCAGATTTTTGCTGAAATCACACAGAATAGTGTCAAGTGAATATTTAATAAGATAATCACAAAAACTGGTGGAAAAATTCTTTTATTATAGACCTTTTGACATTTATCAATGATTTTTTAGTATTAAAAGATAGCATTAGTTGCTAGACAAAAGTATTCTTAACATTTAAAACATCAAAGTTTGTTTTCTGCCACATATTTTATGTGTCACTTGCTCTCAACCATCATTGGGTACTTGTGCATCCTTGTTTATGAAGTCAATTTGTAGTGATAGAGAAGCTTAAAATGCTTTAATAAGAATGTTTTTATTTCTTGCCTATCAATAATTATCTTGCCTTTTAAGGATTAATCAGCACTAATAGCGTTTCTTACGTTTTATTATGGATCCTGTAAAATTTTATATCTCTCTGTAGTTAAATATCCTCTTTTATTTACCTTCAGTAATACTAGCTTTAGAATATTAGCTGTATTGATAATCAACTTAAAGCTTTTATTAACAGGATTAAATTTCCAGTTTTATTTCTGATGAACAGTTTCAACCTATTCATTATAATGTCTGTATATTGTTTGTCCATCAAATTTCATAAAACAACTGCACTGAATTGGAATGACTTTTAAGGAATCAGACTGGGCCTCTTGTTTCCCTGACACACATCTATTTATACACATCTGCCTGGGTCTACACTTTCTCTCCTTTTCCTTCTGGTGCCATTGGCTGAAGTGTCTGCTCCTATCCAAGGCCAGTCCCTCCCCGTGTGATCCGATTCTCCTCTTTTCTTCTTCTCTAGGACTTTGCTCCTAAAAAATCCTGGATGAAAGTGCAAACTATCTCCCTCTACCCCGTTGTTCCAGTTATGTACAAATGTGCTTTAGTATCTCTCTCACCTTAAGAGGAAAAGAAAATAAATGGAACCTCTCCTGATCTCATTCTGCTCTCTCATTTCTCTGCTTCCATTCATAGGGGAACTTTTCCAAAGAGAATAGAGCACTTACTGTCTTCCCTTCCTCAGCTTCCATTCACATTTGAACTCTTATGTCAGACTTTCATCCCCACCATTCTGTTGTCACTGTATGTCTGGGTCACCAAAACCTCTTTGTTACCAAAGTCAGTAACTTTGGTCACTTTTCTTTCTTTGTTGGCTTTGAAGTACTGCTATGGTACAGGAATGGCTTTGCTGGAAGTACTTTGATCTCAGCTTTCTTACCATCATAATCTCCTTGTTTACCTTCCTGACTGTTCCATGTACGTCTCTTTTGCTGGCTTCTTTCTTATACTCCTAAACATCAGTTGTCCTAGACCCATCGTATCCCTTCCATAGCTTTAAATATTGTCTTCCTGCTGGTGACTTCCAAGTTTGTAGCTCAAGATCTACACACACACACACACACACACATAGTTATTACTTGATATATTCACTTAAGTATTTATAAAGCATCTCAAACATACTTTGTACAAAGTATAAACTCTACTTTTTCCCCCTCCCAAAGATACTGTGGACTTCTGCCTCCCTCTGTAAGTCTTGCTCAGCTCAATCAGGCAGCCCAGGTGCTTGCTCAAGTCAGAACCTCGAGAAGCTTCCCTCTCACTCGTTGTCCCTACCTCCACCCCTATTCAATGTGAGCACAGTTTGTTACCCCAAAACCTTCTAGGCTAAACCTTCACAGCTGTAGGATTCAGTCCAAGTGGACATGTCTTGCTTGATTGACATGATGACTTCCTAGCTGCCTGTGCCTTTGGCTCTTTTCAGTCCATGTTTCACATAGTGGTCTGATTGATCTTTTTAAAACTTAGATCATTTTACTTCCCTGCTTAATATTTAAATGACTTCTCATCACACTTAGACTAAATGCCAAACTCATGGCCCTCAAGGCCCTCCATCATCTGGCCTCTGTGTGCCCACCTCCTCCTGGTCTTTTCTGTGAGTGTGTTCCAGCCCCTGTGGCCTTCTTTCCTAAACACAGCAAGGGTTTTCCTACATCGTGAATTTTGTGTTTTCTGTTACCAGTGCTTCTCCTTCAAGTGACTGGCTCTTTGCATTTCTTCAGATTTCAGATGAAACTCATCCCATCTAAAAGAGCCCTCCAGACATCAGATACTCTGCCATTTCACCCTGAGTAAATATTTCCTCCATTGCGTTTATGACTACTAGCTTTTTTACATTTTCTCTCCCTATGCTAGATTGTAGGCTTTAAGAGGGTAGTACTTATTCTGTTTTCTAGTTATGTATTCAGTTCCTAGAACAGTCGCTGGCATAGCAGACTGTCAATAAGTATCTGTTGTTGAATAAATGAATGCTTTGTTGTGGATATTTTGGTTGTACCAGTGTTTCCTTTGTTTTAATACATTAACAGAACCTAGAATTATGTCCCTCTGGAATGGACTCCAAAAGTGGAACGGACTCCAATAGTGACAACAACTCCAGAGACTTGTTTGTGAAGCATTTACCGTTAGTATCAAATTCATTATTATTAATACCAATAAATATTTAACTGTGATCCATTTGTGAAAGGAAATTAGCATCATACTGACTTGTATTTGAAGTCTGATACTCTCTCAAGAATGTATTTAAGAAAATTTGATGTGTTGAAATTCTGTCCTATATAGCCACACCAAAGCTTTCTTCTATTTAGTTACTTTTTGATGTCTACGGATAAGAAGCTTCTCTTGAAGCTTCATTTGTGTTTTTCTTGTATCGTGTTTTCATTCTTAGAATTGGATATTCGAATGTTGGTTATTTTGCCAGTAACAGAGATAGTCTGGTTTAGAAAAGAAATCTAATAAACTACCATATTTAACAAATTGTCACACTGACTCGCTTATCCATTTCATTCTGAAATACCATCAGACCTCATATACTCCTTCTCTTGAATTAAGGGTACTCTGTTTGCTTATGAATTACTGAAATAAAATTAGATTAGTCAAATGCACAGATCTTAATTACAGAGTGCAGTGGGTTGGACTAATATATACACCTGTGAATCGAAACCTGGGTTAAAGTGCAGAGTATCGCCATTGCTCTGGCCAGGATCTCAGCTGAGCACTGCTGACTGTTTGGCCTGGACGTGGTCCTAAGCACCGTGGGGCACTTAGCAGCGTCCTCGGCCTCTACCCGCCAAATGCCAATAGCAGCCCCCTCTCAGAGTTGTAAGAACCAAAGGTGTGTCTAGACATTGCCAGGTGTTGTGGGGGCCCAGGGAGAGAGGGCAGGGTAGCTGTCCCCAGGCGAGAGCTCCTGTCGTGAGCCGTCCCTCCGTGGCCCTTCTGAGGCTGTGCCCCTCCCCTTGCAGAAGTAGTCGCTAATGTGATTTCTGTCCCCCTGTTACTTTTAATCACGAATAGTTTTTAAACTGTTCAATATTAAGATCCGATGCAATGTTTATGTGATGGCCAAAAAGTAAGATGAGATAATTGAGTTTTTATAAGATTTCTAAAATTGTTATTGATTGGTTGCTATTATTGTTTCTACAACTTGTACTTAAGTTTTTATTTCTAGAGAGGTAAATTCTGTATAGAAAAAAAATAAAATTAGAATGAAATGGCCATATTAAAGCATAGGAATGGAAATTTCTTATTCCATGAACCAAAGAGAAAAAATTTTTAAAGAAAAGGAACAGTGTTAATTCAGAGGAGTCAGTAGGTAAATGCCACAAAAGTATGTTATACCAAAGAAAATCATAGCTTGGCTAATGATACAGTAGTCTTTGGAAGAGGAATCTAACTGAATTTCTTTTAATGTAGTTTATACATTAATCTGATTGGCTGTTTCTCCAGTTAAATGATGAGTTAGGGAAAGTGTTCAGGAGGAACTGTTCAATTTGAGGTGTACCTCCTAGGGGGAGCCGAATATCAGTCATAACAAGTCTGCTTCCATGTCATCATCATAAGTGTTTTTGGTTTCCTTTGATGCAGAACAGATATACCGATTTAGAATGGAATTATGAAATGTTACTAAAAGAAAAAAATCTTTATAGAAAATCTTAAATGCTTTTATTGCATAACTGTTAAGTTTTTTATTTTTTATTGGTACTTTCTAAGGCAAGTTCTTGAGGATGCTGACTGTCCAGGACAAGAAGAATCATTCCAAGTAGAAGGTAATTCAAATGAAAATCTAAAAATACTATTAAGGCACGATGAGATCTTTGAGAACAAGTAGCAATTAAATTTCTCTAATTTTTGTTTTTTTACTTTTTAAAATCTGCTCATCTGGTATTCTGCTCAAAGCAAATATCTATTTATTTTATACAGAATAACGAAAGAGTTTTAAAATCCACCCATTTTTATTTTTCCAAATCTGTAGTCAAAAACCTTGGTTACAGCTGTGGCTGCAGTTTGCTGAGCCTATGTGTTACACTCCGTTAGGCACTTAACACACATCATCTTCCTTAACCCTTGTAACAACCTTGGGATACATAGGGACAGACAGTCAAGAGGAAATAAATAGTAAGCTCCCCAGACTTTTATTTATTTAGAGTAAATGGAAAACTACAGGAAGAATTTTCATTAGTTCCATTTTTAACTTTGAATTCTAAGATTCTTAATTTAAATTTCCATAAAGTGAACCTGTTTTTCTCATTTATTTTATTTTTTTAATTCTCAGAGCCAATACCTACTATTTCTCAAGACAGACCGGGATTTGATTTGGATTCAAGTGAAGATAAGTCAACTGATATTGTCTTACCTAGAACTATATCTCTCCGTCGTGGATTAAAGAAATACATTAACAGTCCATGTCAGATTACTGCTGTGGATGATTTTGGAATCAGTCATTTGTCAGAGGACTCTTTGGAACTAGAAAGGATTAGATTTGCAGACCCACCTATAAGCACATGGATACCTGAAAATATAGAACAAAGTGTTTGTCGGTACAACAGAAGTCAAATTTACTCATCACCAAGGCTGATTCACCCAGGACAAGCTACTAAAACAAAGAAAGACGTTTATGACTATAAATCACAGCAAACTAAGCACAGAGGTGCCAAAGAAAGAAAAGGAAAAGAGAAAGCTAACAAAAGGGGAAAATCAAAATCTGTATCAAAGTATAAAGGGAGCAAAAGTGAAAATAAAACTGTTTCCAAAAAAAAGTTGAATGAAGTTGTCACCTCCTGTGATGCTTACAATTTTAATTTGGAAGAAGGTGTTCACCTCACTCCTTTTCGGCAAAAAGTGTGCAATGATGCTAAAAGAGAAGAAACCAACAATGAATCTGAAGTGAGCATCTGTGAATCAAGCTGTTCAGGAGATGATTCTGATGACCTCTATGTTCCCACATGCAAGTCCAGTCCAGATCTCAGCAGTGAATCAACTAGGAGTCCTGTCCCCAGGCCTCGACCTAAGCGAGCACTGAGACATAGGGGCGGAAAGGAGACGGAGGGCTCTGAGACGAGGGAAGCTCCTCCTGGTAAGTGATTCACTTGTTTGCCTGCATTCTTATTGTTTATGATAAATGGTCATGCCTGGTGCTTATATACTAGCATTTACCATCTGCTTCTCTGGAGGAGGTTATAGACTTACCATCTGTCTCTCTGGGGAAAATTAAATAGTGGGGGACTGGAGATGGTAACCACAGTGTGTTGCTTTGACATACTTTAAGCTAATTTAAATCCTCTTGAAGAACAAATAGTACTTGTCATGGAGAGGGTGTTTTTACTTTAAGTAAATGAAACCTTCCAAAGCGAGGAAAGTTGTGGAGTTAGGTTGAATTAAAATTCCTATTATGCACTCCCCCGAAACATCCCCCTGAAAATGAAATCGAACTTAAATCCAGCGACCTGTAATTTTAATGACTTTGCTTTATCGTCAACTTGACAGGATCCAGAATTTAAAATAATTTTCTATTTAGTGAAGGTGGCCTAATAAGACCAAGAAAACCTTTTCCTCAATTCCTTAGTAGTATTTTATAAGATATGTGTAAAACATCTAAAAACTGTGACTTAGAAAACCTTGCTTTTATTGGTTATATCAGAAAGTAGCCCAGATATCGACAATGCTGCCTGCTGCCGCCCACAAAGATTTTTATCTGGGAATTGTGTTAAATAGTTAGTGTGCGAACATAAACAGGCAAGTTTTATCATTCTCAAAATGCTGTTGTGCTAGCTCATTTGATCCCCGTAACAGCACTGTTATGGTTGTTATGATGGTGTTAGTCAACTGTATCTGACTCTTTGTGACCCTATGAATTGTAGCCCACCAGACTCCTCTATCCATGGGATTCTCCAGGCAAGAATACTAGAGTGGGTTGCCATTCCCTTCTCCAAGGGATCTTCCCTATGGAGGGATCGAACCCAGGTCTCCTGCATTGCAGGCGGATTCTTTACTGTCTGAGCCACCAAGGAAGCCCCTAGTTAGGTGGTGAAAAGTGAAAAGTCGCTCAGTCGTGTCTGACTCTTTGTGACCCCATGGGCTATACAGTCCATGGAGTTCTCCAGGCCAGAATACTGGAGTGGTTAGCTGTTCCCTTTTCCAGGGGATCTTCCCAACCCAGGGATCGAACCCAGGTCTCCCGCATTGCAGGCAGATTCTTTACCAGCTCAGCCACCAGGGAAGCCCAGTTAGGTGGTTCAGTTCAGTTCAATCACTCAGTGGTGTTCAGCTCTTTGCGACCCCATAGACGGCAGCACCCAAGCCTCCCTGTCCATCACCAACTCCCAGAGTTTACTCAAACTCATGTCCGTTGAGTCTGTGATGCCATCCAACCATCTCATCCTTTGTTGCTCCCTTCTCCTCCCACCTTCAATCTTTCCCAGCATCAGGGTCTTTTCCAGTGAGTCAGTTCTTCACATCAGGTGGCCAAAGTATTGGAGCTTCAGCTTCAGCGTCAGTCCTTCCAATGAAGATTCAGGGTTGATTTTCTTTAGGATGGACTGGTTGGATGTCCTTGCAGTCCAAGGGACTCTCAACAGTCTTCTACAACACCACAGTTCAAAAGCATAAATTCTTCGGTGCTCAGCTTTCTTTACAGTCCAACTCTCACATCCATACATGACTACTGGAAAAAACAATAGCCTTGACCATCCGGACCTTTGTTGGCAAAGTAATGTCTCTGTTTTTTTAAATATGCTGTCTAGGTTGCTCATAACTTTTCTTCCAAGAAGTATGCGTCTTTTAATTTCATGACTACAGTCACCATCTGCAGTGAATTTGGAGCCCCCAAAAATAAAATCAGCCACTGTTTCCCCATTGGTAGCATGCAAATATCTCTTTTAAGAAGTATGCTGTAATGATTTTAGATTAAATCAAACAAGATTGGCCAAATGTTGATAATTATTGAAGCTGAGTAAATGGGGGCTCATACTGTTGTCTCCATCCTTGTGTACTTAAATTTTCATAAGTTTTTAAAGGAAAAAAACACTAGTGTTACTCGGAATTTGGTCCCCAGACCTTCAGCATCACCTGGAAACTTCTTAGAAAAGCAGAACCTCATGCCATACCCCACATCCTTGAATCATAATCTCTCTTTTTAACAAATTTCCTGGAAGATTGGTATATGGGTAAAAGTTTTAGAAGCTTTATTCCAGAACATAGCAACTGATCCTGATGTTGTTTAACCATAGTTTCCAAACCAAAAGTTGGAATAATTAGTATAGTACAATTTGTTTATGTAGGGACAAGAAAGACAGAATATCTGAAACCCAGGTAGCCCTGAACAGTGGTTATTAAACATAAAATCATTTTACAGTTTAAGTTTAGTTTTTCCTGGGAAACTTTTTAAAGCAATTTTAAGAGATTATTTGCCTTGTAGTGTTCTTACTGTGTGCTGGGTACCTCTCTCCCAATATAGATGTAGCTCCAGGTAGAATAACTTGGATGTTTCTGATAGGAAAATCTTTGGGTAACTTTTTAATCTACCAGCTTGATTAGCACACGTGCATGCTCGGTCATGTTCGACTCTGTGACCCCATGGACTGTAGCCTGCCAGTCTCCCCTGTCCTTGGGATTCTCCAGGCAGGAATACTGGAGTGGGTTGCCAATTCCTCCTCCAGGGGATACCCAGGGATTGAACCCACATCTCCTACCTTGGCCGGTGGATTCTTTACTACTAGCACCAGCTGGGAAGCTTTACTAGAGGGAACCCTGTTTCTCCTGGTTTACATAGAGACTATGACTTAGAATTCTATTTTATTTAGTATTTGATTGGCCAAAAAGTTCTCTTGGGTTTTTCTGTTAACACCCTGTGCAGAATAGAATGCACTTACGTGGCTTCCTGAGACTGTAAGAAATCAGTTGATAATAATCTTTGGAATTGAAAGAGATAGAGACCTGGATAATTCTAAAGAACAAGGTGTGACTAAGTGAAGTTGCATAGTTGAAACTAATTCATTGTGCCCCAGCTATCATGGAAGAATTTTCATTTTTTTCTTTAAATTTTTAAGAATTTTAAGTTTTAGTAAGCTATTGTTTTAGTAAATTCTTCACAGCCACAGTAATTATTTCATTGTTATACTGAGAGGAAAAGATGAACAAGTTTTTAAAAACCTATGTTATAAAATGCTGGATTCTGTGTACTTAGATTTTTTTTATTGAAAGATGCTTGCTTTACAGTATTGTACTGGTTTCTGCCATACATCAGCATGAATCATCCGCAGGTGTACACGTTCCCCTTCTTGAACCGCGTGCGTACCTCTCAGCCCATCCCACCCCCCGGGTTGCCGCAGAGCTCTGGGTGGAGCTCCCTGTGTCACACAGCAAATCCGCACGGGCTCTCTGTTTACATGTGGTGATGTACGTTTCCATGCTGATCTCTCAGCTCCTCCCACACTGTCCAGTAGTCTGTTCTCCAGGTCTGTCTCCATCACTGCCCCACAGATAGGTTCATCAGTACCACCTTTCTAGATTCCATACACATGTGTCAATATACAAAATTTGTCTTTCTTAATTCACTTTGTACAGTAGGCTCTAAGTTCAACCACTTCACTAAAACTGACTCAAATGTGTCCCATTTTAAGGCTGAGTAACTTTCGGTGGTATATATGTACCGCAATTTCCGTATCCATTCATCTGTTGGTGAGCATCTGAGCTGCTTCCATGTCCCAGCTGCTGTAAACAGTGCCGCAGTGAACACTGGGGCACATGCAGCTCTTTCCCAGTTATGGTTTTCCCAGGGCAGAGCCCAGTAGTGGGATTGCTGGATCACGTGGTAGTTCTGTTCCTAGTTTTTTAAGCAAACTCCATACTCTTCTTTCTGTGTGGCTGTATCAATTTACATTCCCAACAGTGCAAGAGGGTTCCCTTTTCTCCACATCTCTGCAGAATTTACTGGTTGTAGATTTTTTAATGATGACCATTCTGACTAGTGTCAGGTGATACCGCATTGTAGTTTTGATTTGCATTTCTCTAATAATGAGCAATGTCGAGCATCTTTTCAAGTGTGTGTTGGCCAACAGTTTATGTTGTCTTTAGAGAAAAGTCTGTTTAGGTCTTCTGTTTGTTTTTCCGGTATTGAGCTGTGTGAGCTGCTTGTATATTTTGCAGATTAATCCTTTGTCAGTTTTGTTTGCAATTATTTTTTCTCATTCTGAGGGTTGTCTTTTAATCTTGTTTATCATTTCCGTTGCTATGCCCTTTGGAGGGCTTCCCTGGTAGCTCAGCTGGTAAGGAATCTGCCTGCAATGCAGGCACCCTGGTTTGATTCCTGGGTCGGGAAGATCTGCTGGAGAAGGGGGGAGGCTACCCGCTCCAGTATTCTTGGGCTCCCCTGGTGGCTCAGCTGGTGAATCTGCCTGCAATGCGGGAGACCTGGGTTTGATCCCTGGGTTGGGAAGATGCCCTAGAGAAGGGAATGGTTACCCACTCCAGTGTTCTGGCCTGGAGAACTCCATGGGGTCACAAACAGTTGGACACAACTGAGTGACTCACTTTGCTGTGCAAAAGCTTTTAAGTTTTATTAAGTCCCATTTGTTTACTTTTGTTTTTATTCCCATTACTCTAGGAGGTGGGTCAAAGAGGATCTTGCTGTGATGTATGTCAATGAGTGTACTGCCTATATTTTCCTCTAAGAGTGTCATAGTTTCTGGCTTTATGTTTAAATCTTTAATCTATTCTGAGCTTATTTTTTGTGTATGGTGGCTCAGACAAAAGAATCTGCCTGCAGTGCGAGAGACCTGGATTTGATCCCTATGTCAGGGAGAGCCCGTGGAGAAGGAAATGGCAATCCAGTATTCTTGCCTGGAGAATCCCATGGACAGATGGTATTAGAAAGTGTTCTAGTTTCATTCTTTTATATGTAGCTGTCCAGTTTTCCCAGCACCACTTATTGAAGAGGCTGTCTTTTCTCTATTGTGTATTCTTGCCTCCTTTGTCAAAAAAAGGTACCCATAGGTGCGTAGGTTTGTCTGTGGGCTTTCTGTCTTGTTCCATTGATTTACATTTCTTCTTTTGTGCCAGTAACATATGGGCTTGATGACTGGTTTTGTAGTAGAGTCTGAAGTCAGGAAGGTTGATTCCTCCAGCCCCATTCTTCTTTCTCAAGATCGCTTTGGCTATTTGGGGACTTTTGTGTTTCCATATAAATTGTGAAATTTTTTGTTCTAGTTCTGTGAAAAATACAACTGGTAGTTTGATTAGGGATTGCATTGAATCTGTAGATTACTTTGGGTAGTATAGTCATTTTTCACAATATTGTTCTTCTAATCCAAGAACATGGTATATGTCTCCATCTGTTTGTGTCATCTTTGATTTCATTCATCAGTGTTTTATAGTTTTTTGCATACAGGTCTTTTGTCTCCTTAGGTAGGTTTATTCCTTGGTATTCTTTTTGTTGCAATGGTGAATGGAATTGTTTCCTTAATTTCTCTTTCTGATTTTTCATTGTTAGTGTGTATGAATGTAAGGGATTTCTGTGCTAGTTTTTACCCTGAAACTTTCTATATTCATTGATTAGCTCTAGTAATTTTCTGGTGGACTCTTTAGGGTTTTCTATGTATAGTATCATCTCACTGCAAATAGAGTTTTACTTCTTTTCTGATTTGGATTTCTTTTATTTCTTTTTCCTCTCTGATTGCTGTGGCCAGAACTTCCAAAAGTATGTTGAATAATCATGGCAAGAGTGGGCAGTCTGTCTCGTTCCTGATATTCGAGGAAATGCTTTCAGTTTCTCACTGTTGAGAATAATGTATGTTGTGGGTTTGTTGTATATGGCCCTTATTATGTTGAGGTATGTTCCTTCTAAGCCTGCTTTTTGAGGAGTTTTTCTTTTCATCATAAATGGGCTGCCATTGCATCCTCCAGGGGCTCTTCCCCACCCAGGGGTCGAACCTGCGTGTCCTGCATTACAGGCGCCGCCAGGGGAGCCCTGATCCTTTCAGTGTGTTGTTGGATCCTGTTTGCGAGAATTTTGTTGAGGATTTTTGCTTCTATGTTCATCAGGGATATTGGCCTGTAATTTTCTTTTTTTATGGTATCTTTGTCCAATTTTGGTGTCAGGGTGAGGATGGCCTTGTAGGATGAGTTTGGGAGTTTTCCTTCCTCTGCAGATTTTGGATGCATGTAAGGTGTGTAATCGCATAATTTCAGTCCCTGTGTTTGTTTGTTTTTTGGAACTGCACTCAATAAAACTTGTTTTTGTAGGTGCACTACTTGAAACTCACCAGTCACCTCATTTTAGCCTGAAGGATATCACGAATGTCCCTTTGTATCCTGTGATGAAAACCAGAAAGCTTTCTCTTTCTCCAAAAAAGAGTGTAGAAAGCCCACCAGTGTCTTTACGTAAACGCAGGTGCACAGCCGCCATCGTGAACTATAAGGAACCCACGCTTGCTTCGTAAGTATTTGGCTTGTGGGAACTCACTTTTAATGACATGCCTGGGAGAGTAAGGTTATAGAGCTTCATTAAAGGGTGAGCCTCATTTGAAATACACCATTTTGATGAAAAACTGAAGTGAGAATATTAACAGTGGCATGATCTACAGTAAACTTAAACTGAAGAGTAAGTTAGTATTGGGATGCTTACAATTATGCTTAAGAGTTCTCTTTATTCTTACAGGAAACTGAGAAGAGGGGACCCTTTTACAGATTTGTGTTTCTTGAATTCGCCTATTTTCAAGCAGAAAAAAGATTCCAGGCACTGTTCTAAAAAAAAATAAGTGTGAAGCAAGTACAATAAAGCCTGTGTTAGATGCTGTTGAAATTCATCCTACACCCGCTTCTGTGGCGCCAAGAGGGAATCTGTAAAATAGTATTCAAATGGTTAAACTATTGCCGTAGAATATTCTCTTGACAAGACTGTAGATCATGAGCATGTCTTCAAAACTATACTTCAGAAGTGATGTGTCTTAAACCTTTGATACATTTGGTTTATTTTTCTTCTAGCTATAAATAATTGGACTGAAGCACTATCATAGTTTAGATTTTTTTTATATTGCCTAAAACTTAATTGATGTATCTTATACCAACATTGGGAAATTAATCATGTTTCTTCAAATTAAGATGTTTTCATTATAAGGCATCTTTTTTCCCTTAGGTGGCTAGTACTATGATTGAATGAATTTTTGAAGACACACTGAAGATCTTCTGAAACTCTCTGTACAGTGTTTGAATAAAATGAATCCTTGTCATTCGCAGTAGAGCATATGCTAAGCTGTTTGTGGGTTCCTTATACCATCGCTGTATTTGATTTTTTCAGACAAAATGTGTTCGAGATTGTGATTAGAGCACGATGGTTGCTTAGGCTCAGGGACTGGGTAAGTGACTACCTCTGAACCCACAGCTCCACATGAAAGTGATACATTAGCATAATCAAATTATTGCGTCATGGCCTCTCAGAATAGTTCCTTGTTTAGTCAGAAATGCCAAATGTTAAATGTGTGAAAGCCAAGGCCTTTTTTATGCATTAGCTCAAATTCCTAAGTCCATGGCCAAGGGACACTGCCAGTGGCAGAAGTGAGGTGTGCTCAAACCGGAAGCCACAAATTACCTCAAGTCAGGTCCTCAGGTGACGTGAAGCCAGTTTGCGACCCAGCCAACCTGGGACCCTGATGTGGAGAGTAGACCGCGGCCCGAGCTGGAGTGGGTCTGGCCTGGTTTAACTGCTCCAGCCTGCCCGGGGAAGACCAGCTGCCTTGGGGTCTCTGCCTCTGCCTGTAAATCCTGGTGTGACTTCATTTCCTCAAAGTTCCTAATTAAAGAATAGAATCTACCTTTCTAAGAAAAAAGTAAATTCAGTGAGAATTCAGTTCTGAGAGTTTGAAATTTATACTTTTATATACTTCTGTAAATTTTGATTCATGTTTAAAGAGCAATAAAGTTTGTATAAGATAGTGCGTCGGGTTTTTTCCATTCTTTAAATACAGACGTATCCTATCTCTCTGGTCATCTTTGTCTCCAGCCATCACTGCTCTCACCTTCTGGGCATTTCTCCCCCAAACCTTGGCCTTCCCTGTGGCCATCGCCTCTGTCACATTGCCATCCTCGCGGTCTCCTCTTTTCTCACTGGAGCCTCCCTATCCCAGTCGGCGGTGTCTGTGTTCCCGGCTGCCTCTTCTGACGCTGACCCCAAGTTGTCTGCTGCATCTCCACAGCTGCCCGCGTCCCGTGCCAGTCACACCCGACATCCTGACGGCAGCCCAGACTTCCCTGCTCCTGATGGATCCTGGGTTCATGTGGCCTGCTCTCCATCACAGTCTCTCGCTTTTCCAGTTTGTTTATTCAGCTGCTGCCCTTGCGCCTGCGGTTTGAATTCATTCAGACTGTAGGACGGCTGTCTTCATTAGGGTTCAGTGCGATGTTCATAGCTAGTCAGTCACCTGCTGCATTGCAAGTGGTCAGCAGCCACGGGTGACTCGCGCTCACCACACGGGGGATGACGCGGGTGCCGTCCATCCCGTCGTTCCAGGAAGCCCTGATGGACTGATGGCTGCTCCAGGCCAGTGGTCAGCAGCCTGCAGGTCCACGTGTAACTCGGTTCTGTCTTAGTAATAAAAAATGCACTCAGTGAAAAAGAATGTTTTATAAAGTATATTTTTCTTTAAATCTTAAAAATTACTGTTTTTAACAGTCTGTCTGCTTTTGCATGGTCTGCAAGGTTAACATGCTTTTTGTCTTTAAATAAAAAACTTGCTGTTGATTTATTTTATCCCTTAAGCTTGCGAAGTCTAAAATATTTACTCTCAAGCCCTTTACCCCAAAGGCTTGCCAACTCTTGCTCTTCACCATTGACTGCCTTTACTATTTATTACTTTATGGATCTTTCTCTTCTGACATTTTTGGATCTACCTCCATCCTCACCTTCCTTTCACCTCCAAAATCAATTCTTCTGAATTTGGTGGCTTTATCCTTTTTTTAATTCACTGTTGGCTGTGCTGGGTCTCCACTGCCACACGCGGACTTTCTCGAGTTTCTCTGCTCTTCGGCGCGGTGCGCGGGTGTTCTGCGGCGGCTCCGTGCTGCCGAGCGCAGGCCCTCGCTGTGCGGGCCTCAGTCGCTGCAGCACACGGCCTCACTATTTGTGGCTCGCAGGCTCCGGGGCCCGTGGCTTCAGTGGTTTGGTGCACAGGCGTATCAGCTGTTCCCAGGCACGTGACCCCCTCTTGGACCAGGGGTCGAACCTACATCCCCTGCATTGGCAGGCGGGTTCTTACCCACTGCGCCACCAGGAAGTCCTGTGCTTCTGTAGTTTCTGTATTTTACTACTTCTTTATTCTTGCAGTGTTTATCCGTAGACTATTAAGATTTCTTTGTATTTTAACATTTTACATGAATGTTGTATCCATCTTTTTACAACTTCTTTTCACTCAACACTGTGTTTAGATTTGTCCATGTCGGCAGATGTAGCTTATTTTCCTTGGTGTACAAAATTTTATTATATAAACCAGACTTCCTCTTCTTTTCAGAAATAATTGGCTTCTACTTTGTCATTATTATAAATTAGTGTTTCACTGAATATTCTGTGTTCTTATATGTATAAATAAGTTTCCAGGGAGTTAGTACCTAAAAGTAGGGTTGCTTTTCTCCTGATAGAACGAGTATATCATTTTCCAAACAACAATTCTTTAAAATTTAAGTATGTATTTACTTTTTGTAGTATACTGGATTTACAGTGTTGCATTAGTTTCTGGTAGGTATATAGCAAAGTCATTTACTTATATATAACCTATAATGGAGATTTTTCTTAAAGGTTACTGTAAAATATTGAATAGGCTTCCCTGTGCTATACAGTAGGTCCTTCTTTATCTATTTTATATATAGTGTGTATCTGTTGATCTCAAACTACTTAATCCTCTGTCCCTCCTTTCCCTTTTGGTAACTATAAGTTTGTTTTCTTTGAGCGTATTTTTGTTTTGTAAATAAGTTCATTTGTATTACTTTTTAAATATGTATATCTATTTATTTGGCTGTTCCGGGTCTTAGCTGCAGCATGCAGGACCACCTCCTAACAGACTTGTTAGTTGCAGCACGTGGGACCCAGTTCCCTGACCAGGGATCAGACCCAGGCCACCTGCGTTGGGAGCATGGAGTCTTAGCCACTGGACCACAAGGGAAGTCCCTCTATCATTTTTAGATTCCACATACAAGGGATGTCATATGATATTTGTATTTCTCTATCTGACTTCACTGAGTATGATAATCTCTAGGTCCATCCATGTTGCTACAAATGGCATTCTTTTGTTCTTTTTTAAGGCTGAGTAAAAACTATAAGATGCTATTTTTGAAGTGCAAGTTGTTTTCTTAGGTAGGTTTATTCCTAGGTATGTTATTCTTTTTTACATAATTTAATTTATGATTGTCCCCTTAATTTCTCTTTCTGATAATTTGTTGTTTATAGAAATAGATTTCTATATGTTAATTTTTGTATCCTGCAACTTTACCAAATTCATTAATGAGCTATAGTAGTTTTCTCATGGCATGTTAGGATTTCTTTGTATAATATCATGTCATCTACAAACAGTGACAGTCTTCTTTCTTTCGCAGTTGATTCTTCTTTTTTCCTCTGGTTGTTTCACCTCAGGCTTCCAAAACTATATTGAATACAAGTAGCAAGAAGACCTCCCTGATGGTCCAGTGGTTAAGACTGTTTGCAGTGTAGGGGCACGCCCTGGTCAGTCCCACATGAGTGAAGTCCCACATGCCAGGTGGTGCAGCCCAAAACACAGTGGCAAGAGTGGGCATCCTTGTTTCCGATCTTGGAGAGAATGCTTTCAGCTCTTCACCACTTGAGTATGTAAGTGGCTGTGACTGTCATATATGACCTCTGATAGGTTGAGGTCGGTTCCCTCTATGCCCTCTTTCTGGAGAGTTTCTATCATAAATGGGTGTTGGAATTTGTCAGATGCTTTTTCTGCGTTTTTTGTTTGTGAGTGAAACAGCAGCTGGTCATGTTCTGGGGATTCTTTTGTAGGTAATTCGTTGCTTTTCCCTTGCTGCTTTTAGCACCTTATCTTTATCATTTTGATTACAATGTGTCTTGGTGTGTTCCTCTTTGGTTTGTCCTGTATCAGACTCTGCACCCTGGATTTGGTTCACAATTTCCTTTTCCAGGTTAGGAAAGTTTTCATTTTTCAGTTACTATCTTTTCAAATATTTTCTCAACCTTTTGATGAGAAATTTTTGATGTACTCCTTTCCCGATTTGGAACCAGTTTGTTGTTCTATGTCTGGTTCTAATTGTTGCTTCCTGACCCGCGTCCAGGTTTCGCAGAAGGTAAGTTGCCCCGGTATTTCCATCTTTTGAAGAACTTTCCATAGTTTGTTGTGATCTATACAGTCAACGACTTTGACATAATAAATAAAGCAGATGTTTTTCTGGAATTCTCTTGCTTTTTTGATGATGCAACAGATGTTCACAATTTGATTTCTGGTTCCTCTGCCTTTTCTAAATCCAGCTTGAACATCCAGGAGTTCACAGTTCACATGTTGTTGAAGCCTGGCTTGGAGATTTTGAGATTACTTTACTAGCATGTGAGATGAGTGCAATTGTGCAGTAGTTTGAGCATTCCTTGACATTTGTCTTTCTTTGGGTTTGAAATGAAAACACCTTTTCCAGTCCTGTGGGCACTGCTGAGTTTTCCCAATTTGCTGGCATATTGAGTGCAGCACTTTCACAGCATCATCTTTCAGGATTTGAAATAGCTCAACTGGAATTCCATCACCTCCACTAGCTTTCTTTGTAGTGATGTTTCCTAAGGCATGGCCAAAGATAAGTAAATTATGAAAGAAAGGAAAGATAAAGATCTCCTGTAGGCCCTCCAAGAGTAGAGTCTGTTTTCCCCAGCCTTGTGGAGTTCTTGCAGTCAAGTCCTGCTGCTCTTCAAAACCAAATGCTCTGGGGGCTTGTCTTCCTAGTGCCAGACCCCCAGACTGGGAACCTGATGTGGGACTCGGAACTCTCAGTCCTGTGGGAGGGCTTCTGTGAGAATTATTCTCTAGTCTGTGGGTCACCCACCCAGGGCATGTCAGATTTGATTATCTCACGAGACAGCTAGGCCTTGCTGTGGTTCCTTCTTGATGTCTTTAGCTGTTGAAGCTGTTACCGTGAGGTTCCAGTCTTTTTCTTTGAGGTTATTCTGCAGACACCTGTGATCTTGGCCTGCTTGTGACGGGTGAGCTCACAGCCTTTCTCCTCCACCATCTTGGCCACTGTCCCTAATGGCAGTTGATAAGTTCCAGGTTCCCCGACACGTGATCACTTGGTATTACTGAATGTTTAAATTAGCCAAGCCAGTGAGTGTGACACAATTTCTTTCTAATCACTTATGAGATTTCCTCTCACTGAGTTCATCACTTGTGATGACTCAAGTGTCAGTGGTCGTCCTCACCCCTCTGCGCGTTGCTTATGCGGCTGAAAGTTGCCCCCTGTTATACTGGAATGTCTTTTCCTTGATAAACAGTATGGCCTCTTTAATATTCTAGGTTCTGTTCCTTGTCTTTATTTACATGGGTTATAACTGTCTTTTCTCAGTTTTTATCTGGATTTTTTAACTTGATAAAGAGACTTTTAGGTTTTAATTTCTTCTTCAGTTTTGCTACTTTGTGTAACACAAAGTATTTGTTCATTTCATCTAAATTATCAAATACATGGGAATGATGTTTATAATAATCTCCTTATCCTTTTAACATCTTGCACGAAAGAGCTCTAATTTTGTCCTCTTTGATTCCTGATATCAGTAATAATTCTGTAATTTTTTTTAAGCACTGCATTAGCTACATCTCACAAATTTCAAATGTATTTTCACTTTCATTTAGTTCAATATATTCTCTAATTTTGTTTGTGACTTTTAGTCCTTTTTCCCTTTGTGCTTCATTTTGGGTATCTTCTAGTGCTGC